CAGATAGCATTACAAACAATTGAACCAAGAATTAACAAATTAGTTGAGGATATTCAGCAGCAGAAATCTCATTAAATTATTTTCAAATATTTTTTGTTTTTTCTATGAATTTTTAAATGTTTCTTATTTTATTTTTTGTTAAAAATTAATGAGTTTTTATGTTTAATTGTGAAGTTTGAATGTTATTTAAATAGATAATGAAATAATAGTTATGTTTTACATTTATTATATAAAAAAATAAAGCAATATAAAAAAATCAATTTATTATATATAATTTAACAAATATATATTATTATTAAAAAATGGGGATCACAAAAACATTATGAAATATTTGGTGGGTCGCGAGTATAAAAAGGTTAAGAACCACTGCTTTACAACTTATTAATAAACAACATTTGAGATGAAACTATTCTTTAATGATGTATCCTTGTTCTGTGATATTGTAATGATTTTTTAGTTTTTTCACTACCATTTCATGGGCAGGAGTTAATTATTTTTGCACATTGGCTTTAAGATGTGTCAATGTTTTTCCAACAGAGTGTATGTAATATAGTAGACTATATAAGAGAAAATTGAAGCTTCAGAGAGTTTAATTTTAATTAATGGAAGATAAAATAAAAATTTAAATATTTTATTTATAAAATAGGAATTGATAATTTACTCATTGAAATTTTTAAAAATTAGATATTACAAACACTATTACGATTATTCATTAAAAACAAATAACATGATGAAAAATCCTTAAAAACGTAATATTTTTATATGAATATTTATTGAATATAAAGAATTTTTTTGATAAAACTTTTTTATACTAAGTTATTAGCTTTTATATTTATTTGCTTTATAGATTTCTGCAATATTTGGAAGAAGAATAAATTTTTTGTTTTAAAATAATGCTTAAACTTGTTTAAAAATATATAACAATTGTTCAGGTCATTTTTAATTCTAAAATTAAAAATAATTTAAATAATTGTTATATGACCTAATATGATAACTTTTTCTTAATTTTAATTGTAAGTTAAAATTAAGAAATTAAGATGTGACTTCTCATTTTATCTTTAAATATTTATTTTCAGGTTATCACCTTTACCAGATATTTCTGACATTGTAAATAAGCCAGCTAGATGTACAGTCTTTGAATTTTCAAAAGTAGATCGAGAACGTCTTGATGAACAGATGAGAATGGTAAATAATATATATAATAGTTATCATATTATTTCAAATATTTGATTATACAGTAGAACCTCGAAAACTCGGCTCTCGATAACCCGGCACTCCGGATAACTCGGCCACACCCTGGCAGGGCAAAAAAATCCTTAGTTAATTAATTTTCATTATAGACAGCTTTATAAAAGTATAAAAGCTCTCATAAAGTATTTTTCTGAGGTCTGTCTTATCAGGTAAATTACTGTACACAGTGTATTCATTAATTTTCATTTTCATGTAGTAAAGGCTCT